AAACAAATTTTGAAAACTGACTTTGTTCACGGAGTAATCTTCACCCTGTCAGACCAGCTAAGTCTCGTCTGACATGGTTGGGTGTGCTCTGTAACTTCACCACTCGATTGTGTTACTTGAAGTAAAACTCGGCCATACAGATGTACAGACTTTTTTTTTTTTTGTCCTGTATCTCTTTCTCACACGGTTGTAATTTACCTTTCTTGGCACAGAATTTGCAGAAGCAAAGACCTGGGTGGAGAAAGATCTGTCCTTTAACAAGAATGTGGATGTGAATTTATTTGAAACAACCATACGTATCCTGGGGGGGCTGCTGAGCACTTACCATCTAACAGGAGACCAACTTTTCTTGGAAAAAGCTGTAAGTTGTCCTATAACAAAAATCGTCTCGTTTGTTACGTGAATTAGGGCTGTGAAATAAATTGAACCCATTAGAACATGCATGTACCATATCTATAAACTAGAGTATAGTGTTTATAAGGTTAATCTTCCTTATTTTTTTCTATATTTATAATTTATGTTTATCTAGTAAAATTGATCATCACAATGGTTTGCTGTACTTAGAATTCATCAGCTGCATTTTTTTTCAAATAAATTCAATAATGCTTTAATCTTAGAACACGTACGTGGTGACTTCCTCTTTAATTCAGTCTCTTCTCTACACTTAAAGAAAGACATTGGCTCCAGATTGATGCCTGCCTTCAAAACACCTTCAAAGATTCCCTTCTCAGATGTCAACATTGGAAAGGGAACAGCACATCCTCCCAGATGGACATCAGACAGTACGCTCGCTGAAGTCACAAGCATTCAGCTGGAATTCAGAGAGCTGAGCCGCCTCACTCAGGACCCACAGTATCAGGTTAGGACACCACAAAGCTCTGCACTACAGTAAAATGTATTGTAATCTGTATTTTTGAGATGGAGTGACAAATAAACAATTAATGTGGTAAGATGATGTGTTTCAGTTCAGTTAAAATCTGACGTTGTGTACCCATCGCTCGTTCTCTGGGGATTGAAGTGACAAACATAAATTTATGCCTAAAGAAGTTCAGCCCGGTCTGACATGAACTTAAATAGTTTCTGTCACATCTGGAGACAGACATGTGTGCCAGCTTTTGATGAGCCTTAAAGTGCAAAAAATGAAACATGAACCAAAACATCAGCAGTAAGTGAACAGAGGCTGTTGGTTTCATGTCATCTCATTAGTCCCATTCCTCGCTTTTGTCTCTCCAGGAGGCTGTGAATGAGGTAATGACGCTGGTCCACAAACTGCCCGGCAAACATGACGGACTGGTGCCCATGTTCATCAATACCAACAGCGGCCAGTTCACCCACAAAGGAGTCTTCACACTTGGTGCCCGGGCAGACAGCTACTATGAATACCTGCTCAAACAGTGGATTCAGGGAGGCAAAACAGAAGACAAGTGAGTACAGCTTTTCAGTTTGCCATTGTTTTTCCATGATTCTGTGGGAAAGTGCCAGACTGCTAAAGCTTCAACTGCAGAACTAAAAAAATGTAATAAACCATCATCAGTCTATGTGTGTCTCACCTAAGATGAACTGTACTCGATCCTTTTGTTGTCCATGTAATATTTAAAAGGTATAAGGGCCTTAAAGATCAAAAGGGTGTGTCTAACAGATGAACAGGAAGTGTTGCAATGTAATAAACTTGAGATTTACAAGCAGTTTGCTAACTAATCTTAGAAAGATGTTGATTGTCCTCGTTTTCAGTCACTCATAGCTAGGATATACAAGATTCCTAAAAAAAAACCATCAAAAAAAAACCCATCAAGAAACACAAATTTCCACAACATGTTTTGAAGAGCAAAATATTTTGAACACATGCAGAAATCTTGCTGAGCTTTTAAAGTACAGTTTGACTTTAACTCATTTGTGAATGGATACCACATGCTCTGAATAGATTTGTGATGTCAAGATCAAAGCTCTTGGGTGGCAGCAGACAGTCTGTTGCTGAACTTCTTGTTCTTCTCGCCTTTGTGACTCTGGCTTTATATTTTGGTTTTGTCATGATCAGTTGAGATTTTTGAACTGTGTTTTATGTTGGCAACAAAAGTTAGTGCACTTTATCAAGTGAGTATTACAGTGTCCCAAACCACATTACTGCAGACTGACTAATCATATGATAATGTCTGTTATGTATAGAGATGGCACGATACCACTTTGTTATGACCGATACGATATCATAAATTTGGATATCTGCCGATACCGATATGAATCCAATATAGTGTTTTTTTTAATCAATAAAACGTTTTTTTTTTTATATCTTGCTGCATTTTGTATAAGTTCATACTCAAGTTTAGATAAACAACAACACTAAAGCTATTCTGTTATACCTGTATGTTAAAAAAAAATAAAAATACACTGCACCCAAAATATTTCATAGTTCAGCAATACTGATCAATCTAATAAACTTAAACCTACTCCATCCTCCCTATTCTGGTATTTTAAAGAGTAAG